ACTGTATTGCTAATTTGACTTTTTTTTTTTTTTTTTTGGGTGGAACCGGGGATTGAACTCAGGCCCTTGTGCTTGCCAGGCAAGCGCTTATTCTACTGAGCCATCTCCCCAGCTTCCTTGACTTGCATTCTTTAATGCTTCACAGACCTAGGTGCTGTGGTTATGAAGTAGAAAATAAATACAGCTAACTACCATATAGAACTTATGGATTTCAGGCCCTGGAGTTAGACCTAGTGATTTCCCACTTCCATTGCTTTGTATTAGTTTGGACTACTGTTCAGCTTCTGTGAAACAGGAATAATGAGTAATAAAAGTACTTCATGGACTTGTTACAAGGGCTACAATGACTTTCAAAGTTACTGATGCCTGATGAGTGCCCAATAAACGTGAGTTATTGCAAAGATGTTTACTACTCCTATTGCTGTTGTAACTGCTACTCTGGAATTTCTTAGTACATGGTCTATGTATTGTACACTATATGTTTTATATGCATGATTATTTTAAGTTAAAGATAGTAATACATATTGAGCAGTACAACCTTTGTGTAACTGAGAAACTAATCATGGATCTGTGCTTAACTTGCTAAAGCCTGTGGAAACATACTGAAGATGTCTTCACCTGCATTGCCACAGCTGCATTATTTATGTACTGGAACAGAGCAGCCAGGCTTTGTCATTAAAACTTTTACTTTTTTTCTTTAAAGGAAGGATGAATGTGTAAAATCTCAGGTTCTGTGTTTTTCCAGAAGGTTACATCCAAACATTTTTGTTCACACTTGCATAAATTAAGTTTGTTTGGTTGTGAGAGTTGGGGTTCCCCAGTAAAATTCTGGCTTAATTGCATTGACAGTTGTAGAATACTTAGTCAAGAGTATTTACTGTTAGAAAGTATACCCACTTAAAAAAGGAAAACTTGTATAATTAAAGGGTAAAGTTTTTTTCACTGTAAATTTTTTCAGTAAACTGCAAGTCAGTGAAACCTGTGTGTGTGCAGTTTTATGAGGAATATAATTGCATTATGAAGGTGAGGGGAATAGCTCAATGACACAGCGCCTGCCTGGTGGTAAGCTTGATCGAAGTCCTGAGTTTGATTCCCATTACCAAAAAATAAAAGCCTTTTGAAAAAGGGCATTACACCATCAACATTAGGAAGTGTGTATCAAATAATACATACTATTGATTGTAGACTAGTGAGCTTTACTGTCAGGTGTTTTTAAAATCCACTGTTTCAATATTAGTTTCATAGACATCAACTAAGCTTTCCTTTTTTTTTTTTTTTTTTTTTTT